CAGGGAGGGGTGAGTGAGGGGAACCGGGAGTCTGAGCGCAATTATGCCTCATCGGCGTCGACACATACGGAGAGCCATACCGGCCCCCAATCACCCCTAACCGACACAGACTTCCAGTCGAGTAGAATAATCTCGAAAAAGGCTGGTTTTGATAGGATTAGCAAAAGTAGGCCTTTCCTGGACCATAGACTTCAGTAAATGAGTTAATATTGTTATCAAATGATAATTAAATGTTTTTTTATTACAAATTTTATGCGAGAAAATATATCCCGGTAATTAAATATAAAGTTTTAAATATAGGTAACACTGTATAAAAAATATGTTTAACATTTGAATAGTTTTTGTAGACAATTAGTGGATCGTATGGCATAAATGGCAGTATATCCACGTAAATACTTAAACATACCCTGATAATAAATACCCCAATTGTTATAAATACAGTATTTGTAATAAACATTATAAACATAACTTTTAAAAATAATAAAAAACATGTTTTTCACGACATATGAGCACAAGTTTAAGAGTATATGAAATTAAATAGTGTTTTGAAATGCTTTACACTTCTGGAGCTGTAGACCATGGCTGACTACATATGACTATCACCTGAAACGGTTCCAGAGGTTTACCCGTAAATAACAGTATTAAACATCTTATATAACGATATAACGATATAATAGTAATGAAAATATAAAAAACAAACTCAAAACCACTTCAAGACATCACTTTTCGAGACCAACTAGTCTTTGGATCGCAACTCAATGATAAACGACTTGATGTCGACCATCGGATCCACTTTAAACAGTGGTATCTCTGGGGCCATCACTTGATCCGTATTATCACCGAAACACAGGACTCCGCGGTTACCGCACATCTCAGCCACGACCTCATCAGTGAGGGGTCGACCGCCAAACACCTTAGGGATCAGATAGACCTCCGACTGATCGCCGACATCGCAGTCGCTGAGCACTTGCGAGTCCTTCAGATACGCGGTATGCTTCCGGAGCAGCATCTGATCCCTGAATGGTATGCCCTCCGCCTCGTCGATCAACTTCTTGAGCGCCGCCACAGTATTGCGGGAACCGATCCGCACGTCAAACCTCTGGACCAGTTGTGGGCCGGCGTTCAGGCGATACACGTATTTAATGATCACTCGTATGGTATCACCGATCAGTTCCACGGGTTTCTCAGTGAACACATTGACGCAGAGCCGCGACTGGTATACCCAGGCGTCGGCCACCGGTACGCCATACCTGTCGGCCCTCCACTGGACAGCCCTCGCGATCTCCGGGGCGCCGGTGTTGCCGACGAACACCAGTCGTTGGCCACCAGTGGTGATGGCTTTGTGGCTGATCTGTGACCCCCTTCTCAAGTGATAGGTCTTCATCACCGGCGAGAGGGCTGCGCGCAGACAGTACTCGATGTTTGTGGTGGTGTTGGGGGTGTTGTCGACGTCCACCTCGAAGTGGGTCTCAGGGGTCGCGAAGTGGGCGATGAAGATGTTGTCGAAGAAGCCGTGGGATAGCGGGATGACACGGGAATGGGATCTACTGTCAGGTGATAGTTGTCTGACGCGGAAACGGGTGCCGAATGAGTAGCCGATCCACTGGTGATCGGCCGATAGGTGTGGGTGTATCTGATGGTGAGGTATAGGCAGTGATAGTACTGGTGATCGACCGGTGGGACCATCGATGGTGTGAATGACTTACCACTTGGGGTACCATTGGATTCATTGTAAGGGCTCGACCTCTAGATGTCAATGGATTTGTGGATCAATTATAAGGTGATGTGTGTTGTAGCGATGTCTTGAAATGAGTGTCCAATGGATGGTGTCTTGAATCTGATGGTGAAGTCGCGACTCACGAGTGAATGTAATGTTTGTGCAAATCGTGTGACCACTCACTGAACCCCTGTTTATGGTAACGGTGTTTGTGAATGACTCCCACATATAAGCGCCAGTATTTGAAACTTAATTGTAAATCAAATTAATCAATAGATAGCTAAATAGGTGCAGGTAAAGTTTATTAAATGTTTGCCACATAATTAGCGCTTTTAAAAATTATTTATTAATTATATGTAAATGAATAGAAAATAATTAAATATTTGATTCATAATTAATTATATGATAATAATTATAAATAAATGAATTAAAGAACATATTTATAGCAAAAATAAATTTGTATATTTAGTACTATATTAAACAAAACAAAAATTCAGAAAAATCATAATTAATTTATACTGGTCATATAAAATACAACTAATGTATACAATAACACAACTTCAATAACGTTAACAACTTATAGGTTTTGGTTTATAAATATGATTGCCAAATCAAAAAGTTCATAAACGGGAGTTTTCAGTAGTTCACAAATAAACACCCGGGAGATTTCCAGGACAGTCAACGATTTGTTCTAAAATATTCAACTTATTTTTCAATGCGGAATCGATTTAGGGGAAAGGTAGACTTTTGAAAACTAAGTTGACAAGTAAATTTTTAAGTTTGTTTGCCTTTTGGGTTGTAGGCCTTTTAGATGGTATATATAACGGGCTATAAACCTTGTGGTCTGTGGGTTTTTTGGGCTGTAAGCCTTTCGGGTTGTAGGCCTTTTGTGGTCTAACCATCCCTTCATATTTGGCATTAAAATATTCCGCAAAAAACTTGTAATCATTTTGTTGAATGAGTTTTAGTGTGGAATCAAATGTGGGATCTTAAGAAGTGGTTAACAAGTGGTGATTGAATGAGTGGTATGTTTGGTGGTATGGCTGGAAGTG